TGTGTGTGTGTGTGTATAACGAACACCAGGACAAAAATAAACAGGACCGTTTAATATAAACAAGCCTATGAGTAAAAAAGTTACTTACTGAGCTTTCATCAGCAACTACTGACGTCATCAGAGTTAGAATGCTAGGTGATTAGGGAGCTTGCCTATATACAGCTGCCTGTCTCTGCGCCCGGCTTCTCGAGCACGTCATCAGCCCATTAGCTATGTTACTCTGCAATGTGTTAAATTGATTCTCATCCAGCAGCCTGCTGGTGGATCTGATGATTGTAGCTCCCTCTCCCTGATCCTGCAAAGAACAACTATTCAGATGTTCCTGCTTCATACTCTCTCCCCTCCTTTTTTGTCTCTCCTTCCAAGCCATTTGTCATCTCCTTCCATAGCAGCTCTTGCCGCCTCTACCTGCAGCCCTATCACTCCAGTCCTGCCAGTTGCTCTCTCGTTGTGGTGTCACCCGGCCCCCCTCCTCTTTTGTCAGTTTGCTGTCCTCCCTAGAAATCATAGCTTCCCTATTTGTAGAGCCATGGTCATGCTTGTGCACCGTATGGGATGGCCATCTACTCCATGGATTACCACGTTGTTTCTCCCATCTTCTGAGGTCTGGTATGCTGGTGAGAGGTCTATTTGCTGGTTGATGGAATTTTCATCCGAAAGCCAGGCTTCTTTAAGAAGGCGGCCACTCTTAGTGGTCTCACGAGATATGGTCTGTGCGTTTTCCAGATCGAATTTATGGTTCAAATTGGCCATGTGAGCCCACACTTGCGAGCACTGCTCCTGCCTTTTGATTGCCAGATCATGTTCATGGACCCTAGTCCTGAGCCTTTTAGCTGTTTCCCCAACGTAATTGCAGGGGCAGTTCCTGCAATTAATTCTATAGACTATGGAAGACTGTTCACCGTTGGGGAGCGGCTCTTTGGGATGCATAATCTGGGTTCTTAGGGTCTGCTCTGGTCTATGGGCAATGCTCACATTTGTGGGGAGCCAGCAGCTGAGCTGTGGCTTCGGAAACACCACAGATGTAAGGTAAAGCTATCCGTGTGGCTGGTGTCATCTTTGCTCCAGAGAGTTGGGCCCTGTGGGGTTGAAATGGTCTGCTGTAACATCTCACAAATTCTGTGGGGTAGCCATTGAGCCTAAAAGTATGATATAGATGTTTTCTCTCTTCAATTTTGGCTCTTCCCATGCTGCAATGGGAATTGATTCATTTAAATAAAGTCCTAACACAACTAATTTTGTGTGCTACGGGATGATTACTCCTGTAGTGCAGCATTCTATCCATATGAGTGGGTTTACGATAGATGGATGTACACAATGTGCGGTTGGAGCGCCGACTAACTAGTACATCCAAAAAAGGCAAGTGTGCCTTGGATCTCTTCCTCTGCCGTAAACCGGATGTCCAGATATACGGAATTCAACTGCTCCAGGAATTTGATGCTGTCTTGTCTTTTGATAATTACAAAAGTGTCATCCACATAGCATGCCCAAAATTTGGGGTGATATCTAGCCATTACAATCACCTCTAACCGCTGTAATACCACCTCCGCAATGATACCTGAGATGGGAGATCCCATCGGCGTCCCTTTTATTTGTTCATATATAGTGCTCTGAAAAGTAAAGTAGGTTTTCAGGCACAGGGATAACAGCTGTATCAGGTCGTTGGTATTGAGAGAATCCAGATGTTGCTCCTGCTCCTCTTGTAGGAGGTCCTTTATTACAAAAACCACCAGATCTTGGGGGATAGCATTAAAGAGTGAGGTGACGTCAAAAGAGATCATCACCTCATCCTCCTCTATCCGTAGGGGCTTTAATCTTTCCAGAAACTCTTTGGCGGATTTTACTGTGGTCTCATTGTTATCAACCAAGTGCCCAATATGACCGCTGAGCCATTTGGCTAATCCCAAAGTTGGTGTGCCCCTGAAAGATACAATGGGCCGCAGGGGAATGCTCTCTTTATGGACTTTCGGGACACACACACACAAATACACACACACACACACACACATTATTAATAAAATAAATATAAATTATATTCATGTTGCCTCCATATCAGACTCTCCATAACAGATCATAACAACTGTTTCATTAGCTTCTGTAGAAGTTCATCTGCCTCCAATTTAACACATATGGAAGCAAATGTTCAATTTCTCTTTAACAAAAATAAAACTTCTAGGCATTTCCCTTATTTTTACAATTATGTTAGCTTTAAATAGAATTTCAACCCCTCTAAATAATTTGTTTCTGCAAGATATTGTTTATCAAAATATTTTTCTACATGTTATCATCTCTATGTTTTTTGAAGTTATCTTCTTTGCCATATAATATATGAAAGTCTTCATCATGGTTCACTTCAAGCCGGGATTAAACAACATGATGACTGCTTTAGAAAGAAGGTTGCAGTTTATTGAAGGGGAGAGTCAGACATAAAGATGGCTCTGGAAGAAAAGAGAGTGAACATATGTAGGGAGTGGGTTTTTATACCCTCTGGAATTGTTCCTGTGGCATGAACTTTGACCTGAGTCTGAGTGTGCCTTTCTGGTATTCTGATGGTGGTGTATTAATCCTATTATGTCCCAAAGGTCATATCCTGCTTCCCTGGGGCTGTGGCTGATGACTCTTAGATTTTTGGTGTGAGAGATTGTTGATTCTAGGGATCTTTCTTCCTAATCCCAGTTTCCTGACTCCAGTCTTTCTGATAAGATTATAAAAGCTCCATTTCTGCAGTCTTGGTTTCTGTTTGGGACAGAGAGGCTTGGGGGTGGTTTGGCTTCTGCTTTTAAAATCCTATAGGGAAATATATTCTGCCTTTTAAATATTTCCAAGAATATTTCTTTCTCTGGGGAAGGGATGACTTCCCACAATGCTAAATTTTTTCACCTTGTGCTGAATAGTAACAAATTTATCTCTCTAAACAAAAGAAAAACCATCATAATAGACTGATTGTTCTTCCCTTTTCCTTGTATTTCTTCCTTTCTTTATTCCTTAATTCCACATTCCCTTTTATCTTCCCATAGCCAATCCCACCATCCTAATTTAGGAAATGAACTTCAGTGGGTTAAAAGCAGATCTAATCCTGAGCTCCTTGCTTGGTCTAATAATTATTATTAATGCTTTGGTGGTCTAATGTTTAGTTTTAAATTTGATTAGGTTTATTGGGGGAGGTGGGATTGGGGGTGTGTGACATAGTACAGATATGTTAATATGTTGTATGAATTCAGATCATTTGGTTAGTGAGTATGAGTATGCATAGAAACCACTATATTAGATAGTTAAATAAAGAGGAAAGGGTTATTGTCTGTGTTATTCTCCAGGATGGCTTCTTTGTGATCCCAAGGCCTCCAGGATATTGATCTGTATTAAGCAAATAGCTTGAAAAATCTTGCAATCCTAAAGAGCTTCTGAAGTTTCCAATTGGAACTCAAATGTGGACTCTTAAGAGAAATGGAGAGTTGAATTCTGAGCACAATAATGAACACACTATTCCTCCATTTTCCCCCAGGAGATTGTTGCGGTAATATACATATAAAAATTGCTGCACTGGTTGCTGGCATCAGAACCTCTGAAAATACTGTTTCTCAACCTCAGCAACTTTAAGATGTGTCAATGAAAACCCACATGCTGGTTGGGGGAATTCTGGGAGGTGAAGTCCACACATTTTAAAGTTGTTGGGGTTGAGAAACCTGAATTAGAGGATATTATTTTAAATTTTACCTGCTTCTACGCCATATAGAACATAGAAATTGCAATTAATGTTTAACTTTTCAATGTGTTCTTAGGCCTGGTGAGGGCACAAAGTAGCTGTTCTTCTTCCACAAGGCTCATGTGTAGCATTCCAGTTTTGGCACAGTGCCTGTTCCTAGTGGATCTGTTGTTAGCATCTGCATATTTATTCCCCAATGAATTCTTTTTGTCTCCTAGAGGTATTACTTTTATAGCTCTGAGCCTGTTGCTGATACATCACTACCACTTAGCAGTTGTTTTTTTTTACTTACTGCTCCTATTTTTATATGTATTTTTCATTCCTGTGTAAATCAATACCAAGCTCTAATTTGGAGCCTAGCTGGATATAATGCAAATCCTTTCAGAATCAATTATTTATAAGGGGTTCCATGTAAGTAATCTGTAATCTTATTATTATCTTTCTAGAATGAAATCTATCCTATTTGATTTATTGTTTACCATGTTTGAAATTTGGTGGGAAGAATTTGTTTTCCACAAACATCAGGATATCAGTTACATTACATGGCACAGTCTTGTGTCAGATTCATAATAAGCATTAGTCAATTAAAGCTAGACATAATTCTACTGATGAACACATAGGGGAAGTTAAACTTACTTCCTTTGAATAGTAAAAATGCAGGAAGTGGAAACAGATCTGGCAATCTTCATTATAGTCATTTTAGTCTGCTCCTATTGAGAAAATGTCATAGATAAATCACTGGGAATGACAGAAATTATAATTGAGCACAATACATATCATGGGTTGTGAAACTTTCTTTCTTTTGAAAATATTTTAAAAATCACTTGCTTCCAATGCATCTCATTACTATAGTGACCATATTATTTTATTTATGTTTCTATTCATTTATTTGTATTTATTATAGCCAACGACTCTGGTAGATTCATGGCACCTTAACAAAATCCAAAGAAGTATAAAATCAGTTTAAAACATCCAACAGCGCTGACAGCCTGGATTAAAATAACTAAAATAACCTGCATAATAACAAAGAATCACAATAGGAGTGTCACAACACAATAGCCTAGCACTAAAGCCAGGTTTTGAGGGCTTTTCACTACCCCAGGAGAGATAACATGGCCCATACACTGAGGGGTGCAGTTTAGAAGGCGGGAGCTGCAACTGTTAAGTTCGTACCATGTTCAGTCAAAGATCCTATATCAGAACACATGAACAAAACCATTACAGTCTTTACAATAGTGCTTGGAATGACTGACCTATGATACAGCAACATAAATAACTTGTGCCTTTTGTTTTCCAGATTGGCCCAATCTCTGCTTGCTCTCTTTGCCTCATCCCTTGCTATTTCTGTGGTTTTTGCCATCATCCCTGTCTGTCACAATGTGGTGGTTCTTGCGGTGGTCATGGCTGTGGCTGGGCTGGCCATGGGGTGTATTGACACACTTTCCAATATGCAGCTGGTGAAGATTTATCAGAAGGATTCAGCAGTCTTCCTGCAGGTGAGAAAGAGACTGGTGGATGCTGGGCCAAACTTGTGCGTTTGTATTCCCCTACTTCTCCATTGGTTCATAACTCTTTAAGGTCCATTGTACTTGCCATGATAAGGTATATTTTGCTCTGATGTTATGTTAAATATGAGGATATGTAAGCTGAATCTCTTCTTTATTTTTATGTTAAGGAGAAGGAAGAAAAAATTCATTTTGTACTGAGCTCTGTATTTTCCTCAGAGTCAAAATTAGTGCATCATGAAGGGGAAGCCTTAGCTTTTTTGGTGCTTTCAAAAAGACTGGATTTTCCTAAATACAGTTAGAGCAAAATCTGCACTGCGTCAATGGCCTTGAAATGGAGAAACACACCACCCCTATAGTCTGCAACAAGGAGTAAAATCTGCAGAGACTCCTTATCTCCATTTTATAAATGCTTTAGTCTGAGCAAGAAGATATGTGCTCAATATCTTCTTTCTCCCCAGATTAACACTTGGATGTAAAACTAGAATTAAAGGCATGTTGGCTCCAAACAGAAGCATGATATAGCACTAAGGAATAATGCACATCATGAATGAATGCAGTCATTTCAATGTTGATCTGGCATTCAGACCAGTCAAGAGGATCAGTCCATGACCTGGAAAGCAATAGAACTTAGTGCAAAAATTTATAACTTGTTTCTGAATAAGTGAAACAAGATGTAAGTACTTCATTGTTTTAAAACCATGAATGTACAAGCCTTTATCAATGCAAGTTAATCTATGGGTACATTTTAACAATAGCAATAGATTTAGGCTTATATACCGCTTCATAGTGCTTTACAGCCCTCTCTAAGCGGTTTACAATCTGGGTCCTCATTTTACCAACCTTGGAAGGATGGAAGGCTGAGTCAACCTTGAGCTGGTCACAATCAAACTCCTGGCAGTGAGTAGAGTTAGCCTGTAATACTGCATTCTAACACTGCGCCCCCATGGCTTTTTTGTCAGTTTTGTGTATATATTTCTATATATTTTTGCCAGTTTTGTATATTTTAGAGTACTTATCATGTTCCCATTTACTAAAATAGATACTTCCCTCTTTCTTGCACACCCTATTCAAGCCATGTTAATGTTACATATGAAGCTGTATTAAAACATACCTGTGGCTGGGGAAACAATCGTTCTATACCGGTAGTAACCATCTCACAGCAATCTCATATTCTGCTACCAAAAGATAGGGACATGTTACAACATTTTCCTAGAGAATTAGTCTTTCCTTAGCCACAAAGTAGCTGGGTAACTCACCAGTAGTTAAAGCAAGCTAATCTATAGCAAGCCACAGCTATAAACATATTAAATTATTCCTACTCCATCATAATCTTAAGCAATTATCTAGTTTAGATGATATAATAAACCAAACCATAATAAGGCTTGGCATGTTATATTGAACACAGTTATGATATTGGTATGCATCACACCTGGGGTCAGCATCACAATTGTGCTGGCTTATTCTCTGGTTCTTCTGTGGTATAGGAGATGTCTATAGTTCTAGTCCTCCCGCAAAGAAGAATCAAATTGTCAAGAGCACTTGGGTAGCATATGAAGTTTATTGCAGAGTTAACTATGTACAGTACACAGTCTTCTGCAACCTGTCTCTAGAACCCAGAAGAATTTAGTGATAAACTATTAATTCATTCTGAACCCTATTTATTTCATCTGGCCAGATTTGTTATTGACAATGTTCTCTTTGTCATTCTCTGTAGGCCCTTCATTTTTTTGTGGGCTTTGGTGCCCTGCTAAGCCCTCTGATAGCTGATCCTTTTCTGTCAGACACCAACTGCATCCTAGCAAATGGCACAGCCAGTGGTAGCAGCAACCTTCCTCACATCCGGAAGTCATTGGTCCCACATCATCCTGGGAACCTGACACATTATGACCTACCCATAAAAGGACTGGTGGTGACCAGAGTGTCTTATGCTTTCTGGATTATGGCTCTGATCAACGTAAGTATGGCCATCTTCACAGCCAATTGTTCCATGTATAAGATTCATACACATCTTCGGAGTAATGTAAGTAGAAGCTTTTGATTCCAGATTACAATTTGTTTTGACATTCTGACAGATCAGTCTTCTCAAAATGTTTCCACCATCATCCTTTCTCCAAATAGGACAGTCATATGAACTACGGGGCACAGATAAATCTAATACTTTACTTTAGAGATTTATATTGCATTTCAAGAGGCCTTGAACATAAAAGCAACATTCAATAGACCGTTCTGCCTCTTCCAAAATTACAGATTCACAAGGAATAGATTGCTTGAATGGTTTGCTACAGAAGCATACGTTGTCTGATATTTAAATCTTCTTAATCCAGGAAATACACTCATAATCCTTCCCAATCCCTTCTGAAACAGGTGCTGCCTTTTCTTCCTCTTTTACAGAGTCCAGTTAATTCACAGTTTTCTTATTTTCCCTTGCTAATAAAATTCCTCATTTAGGAAGAAAGTCTGGAAGTATGGGAACTAGTTAATGACTGATAGTTTTTGTGATCAGTACCATTTCAAGAGGGCGTTTGCTGATTTCAATCTCCACTCAGCCTTGAGTTTGTTAGAATTGTTAGAACAGGTTGTTAAAACAGCCTGAAGTTATATGTTCCCTTGCACACCCCTATCTTTTATGTGGGTATATTTTTTGCCAACCTCAATGGACATATATGTTTACATCATATAGTGAATACCACTCAGTTCGCAGAGACTTACTGTAACTTGGTGTACTATTGAGAGCTTCAGTGGCATGCCAAGCGCAAATCAGTGGAGGTGGTCTGCCCTGGTTACAGGCAACAAGAGGGTGCATTAATTGGCAACTTGGAGATGACGAGGCCATTTGGTGGCAAGTGTGGAGTCAGGTCACTGCTGTCAGTGTGCCAATCAGTGTCTACACTGAATGGAGAGAGAAATTTAACTAAGTTTACCCTGTACCCTCTTAGTAATACCAATGGGAGTTTTGTTTTCCTGTGGGAGGGTGGTGAGGGCAGGGTTGTCAGGAAACTTGAAAGGGGAGAAAAAAATTAAATTTCCTTGACTACAAGCATGTTGTGCTGAATAAATAAATGTAAATAAGAAAAATTTTAATGGTCACAGACACTACTATTATGGTAACACACAGGTTAAATTCCAGTAATTAAAATAGTGGGACTTTTGATATTGTCCCAAATTGGAGGGGTTTGGGGGATGATATCTTTTATTAATATGTTTTGTAATTCTTAATACATTGTATTGTTTCAGTACAATGATACTTAGGTAGTATTAATTAAGGATTATTGATACTCTATTGTTTATATTACTGAGACTGTAAAAATAAAGTAAAAAGGCATATTCTATCAATATTAATTACGATTCAGGATGTCAGTTTTAAAAGGATAACATTATTTGACTTTTTCACCCAAAACTGAATATAACATTAGAAAAAGAAAAGTGCTGCTGATTGCATCAAAATATTTGTTACATAGCAAAACTTGTGTTCTTGAGCTGACTACTTATTGTTAAAATCATCATTATATCATTAGTTAATACTTTAGTTTTAAATATTACTAGAGAATAGATAAGCAAATTTAACAACAATTAAAATACCAAAAAAGGAAAAAGGAAAATAACTGTTGAATGTTTAACTTTTCCCTTTTTATCCATCTGCTGATTTACTGTGCTTATAAATATTTAGGTACTCTGGGAAGCCAGACTTGTATTTGCCATGCTGTGAAATATATTGGATGTAGGAAAACCATCCCTGTTTAAATTTGGTTACACCTCAGTTATGAATATATACTGTCAGTTTTGCCATTACTTCACATTCTCCAAATTTAAATGTCTAGTCAGATAACATTGGAATTGTGGGCTTCTTCTGCATGGGGCAAGATTTATTTTTGCTGCTGTAAGCATATATTTCATTAAATTATGGTGATTGTTTTCTAAGATTATATGTAGTAAGAAAAGTTGTGGCTTCATTTCAAATTTAAATCCCAGAGTTTTTCCGGCATTGTATCATATATATCTTTCCAATACTGTTGGGTTTTTTTAAACATGTCTACCAGATGTGATAAAACATTCTTTTTATACTGAGTCATTTCCAAAATTTATTAGAATATTGTCCCAAATTGTTATAAGTTTTTCTAGTTAGGTACAGCAAAGACTTTTGGCGGAAATGGGAATTTAAAGGAAAGTCAAATCATGTTGTGGGGGGGTTATGCGTTTCATGTTTGAGCAAGTTATAATCTCATCCATGTTATATACTTGGTAAATTGTTATATGACTTATGACAATAATTGAGCCCAAAATTTCTGTTGTTAACTGAAACATTTGTTAAGTGACTTTTGCCCCATTTTACGACCTTTCTTGCCACAATTATTAAGTGAATTATTGCAATGTTAAGTTAGTAACAAGGTTGTTAAATGAATCTCGCTACCCCATTGACTTTGCTTGTCAGAAGGTTGCAAAAGGTGATCACATGATCCCAGGACAATGCAACCCTCATAAATATGAATCAGTTGCCAAGCAAATGAATTTTGATTATATGACCGTGGGGATGCTGCAATGATCTTAAATGTGAAAAATGATCATAAGTCATCTTTTTCAGTGTCACTAAATAAACTGTTGTAAGTCAAGAACTACATGTATTCTAAACCAGTATTTAGAATGAGATTTGGGAAATTACTGCCACTTTGCTAAATGGGGAAAGAGAAGTTGTAGACAAACAAATATTGACAAAAATCTTTTCTAATTTTCACTTGTAGCTGACTGGCTTTTTTTGTCTGCCAGTTTCTGTGCTATGCCTGCTTCCAGAGAATAGGAAACTAAACAGTGTGACTCAGTAAGAATTCCTGGGGAGCAGGAGACCACCTGAGGGCCAAAATCTGGGCTGTGCACATAGTGAAGCTGACATCTGCATAATCATGGCATGGGCATCATTGAGTTGAAGATGTCTTGTGTTGAGAAAAGCTATTTCTTTTCTTTTTTTTTTAATGTACTTGTTGGCTTCTTAGTTTTAAAAGAGGCAAAAAAATAGCTATTAATTAGAAAACTCTCCACTTCTCCTGGGTGACAGTCTCATAAGACCTGTTACTGGAGGGAATAGTTTGTTATGATTCTCTGCTTTGATAATGCAAATGTCAGACCCAGCGTGATACCTACCTTTTGAAGCTCAGCTAAGGTACCATGTGCTCCAGCCGAGTCCGGTAGCTTCGTGAGTTACATCACCATCAACGGTAGGAAGGCGGTGCCAGGGCGTCTGCAGTGGCAGCCGAACAAGTCATGTGGCCATCTCACGACAGAAAACAACCGGACGGAAGCTACGCAGCAATTGAATGCGAGAGGAGCCGAATGATTTCAATACTGCTATGACTTTGATTGCTGGGACCATGACTCTGCGATTGAGTCGCTGGGTCTGACAAAGTTTAGATGCCAGGATAGAAGGGGGAGGGATGATAGAGAAAGGGATTAAGTTCGTTAGAGCCTGTAGGAACGAGCATGGTGTGAATGTAACACCTGGACTTAATGCAATATTGAACGTAAGTGCTAGCTGGATTGGGCTGTGGTTAGGGCGGAGGTCTATCACGAGGCGGTGCTGGGGCGTGGTACGGGTGGAAACTAATTATCTATTTAACCGTTGATTGGGGGTGTGTATTCTGGGTGCGGTGGCGCAATGTATTTAGGGCGATAGATGGAGTATCCTTTCAGTGCTAACTTCGTTTTCATCATAGTGAATAAAAACTTGTTGAATACTGCAACGTTCCTGTTTCCTGGCTTTCGTGGAGCACAGGTAGGACGTTCTGCATTAAGTTAGCACTCACCCCGAAGCCATCTAGCTTACAGCGTAATGGCGGAGGGGACGCAGGGAGCGGATCCGTTGGAGGAGGAGCAGTTAGAGTCAGAAGAGCCGGTGGAGGTACCGGCAGCCAGTGACACAGGGGCTCCTCAGATGGTGGTTCGACCAAAGGAGAAACTGCAGATTCCAGGGACTACGGAACCTGGAGTGAAGCCGCGAACAGCCACAGCTGCAGATGGAGAATGGTGGCTGAGTCCCGCATTGCAGCATCCGGAAGAGCGCGGAGAACTGGGATTGCTGCCGAGTTTGAGTGGATGGAGGGAACGTCGGCTGACTGGGGACGACGAAGACGAGTGGAGCTATTCCACGGCTCCGGGGCAATACACATTGGACGTTCTTAGGGACCAGTTTGGGGAGCGGGGTTATTCGGTTCCCGCTAGTCTCCTTCCCCAGTCTTAAATCTGCAATGTGCTTGCACAATTTTTAACACTTCACAGCCTCTGTAAAGTTTTCCAGCACTTGGGTGGGTGGCAAAGCTTCTATTTTCTGCCTCTCTTGAGATATATAAGATAAATCTACTTTACATGCCAAATATGATGTAGATGAGCAAAACATATGGAGCTGGTAGAACATAAGAAATGAATATTCTTTATCAAAAGGAAAAGTGTTTTTATTTCGTTTTTTGTTTTTTTTGCAAATTAAACAATATGGTGATAGAGTGGGCAGGGTGTGAGAATGCAGTCTGAAATTCTGTGAAGTGTAAGAAAATATGTTGAGTTGGTATGAGGGACACCTGCATTGGATGATAGTTACACATAGGCACAAAATAAATATAAAATACGTGGTTTATGTACTTTTTTAAAATCAGAGAAATGCTACAGATATTTCAGGATTCAAAGATGAAAGACCAAATACTGAGGAATTAGTGGGAGCAGCATGTAAGGCAGACCAACACTTTTGCAATCCAGGGCTTATAATATAACACAATAAATCACATTCAGCTATTTTGAATAGTTGGTCAACAAGAAAGGATGGGCAGCTTGGAGGCCATCTTTCATAATTGGCTTGATCTTCTTGGGAGTGTGGTTCAGTAATGTGCGGAACCCTGTTCTAGTGGATAACTGTTACATATTTCAGCATTTATTCACAGTATTTCTTTTAAGAAGATCATTCTTTTGAGCAGAAGA